ATACCAGAGGCCAGGGGTTCCATTCCCGGCAAAGGCGATTACTCATTTTTCAGCTGCTTCCAAAAAATACCTAATGTGTCTACAGTGGCGCCCGAACTAAAAGGGTGTTGGAATGGGATTCTCCACATCTGTGCATTTGGCGATTGGATCCCCTAATCGTTCTTTAATCCCCTAATTGTTCCCTAAAAGGGGGAGTATATAAGGTATTTCTCCCGCCTTCCTAGCGTGACATCGTGGTGTTGTGTTTCTGCACGCTGGGCCGGTATACCAGAGGTCCGAGGTTCGAGTCCCGGCGAAGGCGATTGCTCATTTTTCATCTTGCCTGTTTCTAAAAAATACCTAATGTTTCTGCAGGTTTATTAATAAAGAAAATTTAAGTATGTTAGTTGTTTTAAAGGAATATTAAATGCTATTAATTGTATTCAAGGAGTGTTGTATAGTTGTGTTAAATATTATATTATGTTTAATAATAATTGATAAATTCTAAAATAGAGTGATTTTCTATTCACCGTGTTTTAAACTCTTAATAGTATGCAAGAGAACTCTTTTTCAGTTCCTTTAAAATAACCTCATTCTCTAATTCTGCACTTAAATCTTGCTGTACATGAATTATAGATTTGTTTAAACACTATGGTCGCTTCATGCATAATTCGCATTGTAAGAATTCTGATGGAATAAAACCTCTGATACCGCAGTCTGCAGGATTCTCTTTTATATCAATATAATTCTATTGAATACCTGGAACAGCTTGCTGCTGAATCTTCGCAACCCGGTTTGCAATGAAAGTTAGCCAAGGACGAGGATCGTGTGAAACTCATGCCAATATAACCCGTGAGTCGGTCCATGCGTAAATGTTGTTAATCGGGAGATCTGTGCGTAATACTGCATAAAAGAGGTTGTTTAAAAGTAACGCAGAAGACAACTCTAGTCTTGGAAGAGAAATCTCGTTGTCTTTGTCAACCAGCACAATTTGACCTAATGGACACCATCCATGTAAACTCAGATTCTTCGGCGCAAAATGATCATGCATTATACACTGATGGATCTAAGACAAAGGCTAGTACAGGATGTGGATTCTGCGAATTGGATAAAGGCAGCATTATCTTCTCCTGGAAACGAAGACTGAACGAAAGTAATTCAGTGTTTCAGGCAGAACTCATAGTTTTACACGCAGCAATCATCCACAGTCATAGGAATGGTCTTAATCAAGTTCATATTTATACGGACTCCGCCTCAAGCGTCCATTTAATCTTTTATGAAGCGATATCTACGCCTAAAAGTATATCAACAGGCCCACTCTTGTAGAGTGTTGGATCTGCTAACATTAAATCATTATATTCCTCAACGTACTCCTTATCTAATGTAAAATGCGGCAAGGCTCTAATAATTAAATTGATGATAAATACTGGTTTTGTAAATGACACCATCGCTGGAAAATGCGGGACGAAATTTTTTTCCACAATCCTAATAGATTTGGTATCCAAAGACCCTCAACATGAAATAAAATCTTTGCCATTTTTCTTGGTAACTTTAGTCCCTGTACGCAATCTTCTGAAATCAGCCTTACTTGACTGCCAGGATCAAGGAGGGTTCTACACAACTAGTACCCACCAGGTGAATCTAACATTTTATTATTAGCTGTGCTTATTAAAACTTCATGCAGAAAATTAAAGTCTGATACACAAGATTTTATTATTCGACTAGAACTCGTGAAATTCGCCCCTGACTTAGCCGATTGAGTACAAGATTCTGGCTCGAGGAAAAATGGCTTGGCCCTCACCGATAATTCTTTCAATCTGTTCGTCACTCTTTTACGCGCGTTTGGCTCACTCTGATCTGTTTCGACGCCAATGAAGTGAATTTGTCCCCCGCACTTTGTATTTATTAACACTTTATGGCTTACCTGCTTGCAAAGTGCTGGCATGAGACTGCAAGAATTCTAACAAGTCATTAAGTGTTGGTATTTCCTCACGCTTTAATATTCTTTCCCACCATCCTCTCATCGAAAAACCTAATTTAAATTGTACTATTATCCCTAAACTATTATCCGCGAATTGTTCCACTTTGAACCCCAAACTCTGGAATGAACATACACATTATTTTACGGTGTCTGTAAACACTAATAAACTGAGTAGGATTTTCAGCTTGTAAATTTGATAAATGCAAGATTTTCTTTAATAACAATGAAAGTAATTCTTTTTTATGTTAAAATCTTTGAAACGTTAAATTCTATGCAATTTTCAAAATTTCTATCACAAACAGTTAAAGTTTAAACAGTTCCTAAAGCATCTCCCTTTAAAGAGCCCTTCAAATATTGTAGCTTTTGCGCACCTGATAATCGGTCATTATCCACTTTCGCCGTTTTAAATAAATTTAAAAATGATAACCATTCTTCAACTCTGCCACTAAATGCAGGAACAGTTAGCGTAGGTAAGTGAATTCTCGCTATTTTACGATATTTAACCTCCACATTGATATCTTTACATTCTTAAATATTAACCTCTGGTTAGAGCTAAAAATAATTCATCAACAGTATATTGAATGTTCTGTTGTTCTCTACACTTCAATATCTTTCTGTGCACAAATAGAAAAATGATACTAAAAATATCCGAAATTTCTGTCATTACATTATTTAATCTGGATTTAAGAAGTTCTAACTGAGCGAAATTACCAGAAACGTAAGTCACTGTCATTTTCTCCTTTAGTTTACATAGCTTTAGCTACGCTTTTTTTCGGTTTTAAGCCTATAAAATTTCATTACCTAATAAGATATAGAAATACACAGATTCAACAATTTTATTGCAGTTTCGGCTCGACAGAGCAACAACCATGTATGTTCCATCTCTCAAATAGTGGACTGTAATTTGAGTTGCTATTACCCCAATGTCGAATTCAAGAAACGGTACTTTTCCGTTTTGCCGGCGCAAGCGATAAAGTCGCCAATAATGGTACAACCGATGCCAAACGGAATATTCTCGCTGGTAACCTTTTACGCCTCATTTTCAAAACAAGTCGCAGCTTTTTCTTATCAGATTGATTGTTTCTTTCAATAGTGGCATATAATTACATAGAATTTTTATCAGATAGTTCAGTTTTATGTCTAAGGCCATTTTCGGTAATTAAGTCAATCAGGATGCAATCACAGCGCTTACCCGAAGCCGAAAATATAGAAAATGTAAGTCGAGGGTTAAATTCACCAATCCTAATGAGAATGCATTAGCGAAGTAAAGCACTGCAGCTTTACATAATTTCTGAGTAAGCTATTCGTACGAATTGAAATATTTCTTGCATTTAAACTTGTGTTCGAAATTAAGATTTAACTTGAAATTAATGTAGATAATTACTGCGAACATTAGATTTTTGTAGAGTAGTTTACGTGAGATGAGATCGCTTGGGGTCACGTGATATGAACCGGCGAATGAAGATGTTGAACCATGAAAGTATAGTAAATTCTTAAATTAATGTCTTTTTACAAATTTATTGTCTTTATTTATTGGCTTTTTATAAAATTTTAAGCGATATTAAAATGTTTATGCCTTCAAAAAAAAAAAAAAAAAAAGAATTCTTAGAACTAACATTTTTTTAAATATTTTTTATGTGTATACTGTATGTTGTCGCCAATAAAGTCTGCTTGGCGAGATTTGCGCCGGCCAAACGGAAAAGTACGCAAGAAACTTCAGAGTCATAATGTTGACCGAATCTCTTTAAATAATAATAAAAACTAACTATAAAAACCTTAATACATTTGCGGCAGTTCAACAACAGAAATATAATTTGATAACTTCAAACATAGGTGAAATGGTGCGAATTGCTCGTTCCATTACTTCTCCTGAACCTGATTTATCTCATCTCACTTGACTTTCAAAATATGGCAGAATATTTCCAATTCATTCAAATTATTTGGAAACGGCAAACTGATATCATTTAATTTATCCTAACCAATGCACTAAATGGTTTAATAATAAAGAAAATTTAAGTATGTTAGTTCTGTTTAAGGAATATTAAATGTGATTAATTTCGTTAAAGAAATATCGTATAATTATGTTAAATACAGTCAAAAGTAGTTAATCCGGACTCGCCGGGACTTCGGCGACTCCGGATTATTGATTTTTCCGGATTATAGATCATCAGTTTAAATCTCGTAAGATGGCATGCAGAAATTCTAAAATTAAAAATATGAAACCGTAATTTATGAAATAAAGAACAATTATGATCTAAAGGGTATCAAAATTTACAAAAAAAAAAAAAAGCTTAATATTTATTTGTTTACTTTATTAAACATTTCTCTCAATGTAAGTTGTTTAAGTTGCTTCGTTTTATGTGATAATACTTTCTCTTTAATTCTATAAACAGACATAATTTCTTGTTCAGTTACAAAGTTCCGCTGTACAAGTCCCTTTAATTGCAGTGCCGAGAATACCGACTAACTTGTCAATCGAAATTTTTTCGTTTTCACTAACCTCTCTGTCACATTCTTCATGTCTTTATCCATTTTTTGCAGCAATTCCACTTTTTGTTTGATGGACATCGAAACATACTTTCGTTTTGTACGATCTTTTGGGAGCTCCAGAATCGGAAATTCTATTTGACATAAGTTCAAGTTTACTTTTATAGTATTGCTCTTACAGTCTGCAAAAAATAATAACCGGATCCAATTCGAAGATTAAGGAACAACGCAATCATCAACATTAACTGAAAAAGATAATTAGATAATTTTAGCTTAAACCGTCCGTTATACATAAAACGCGCACGCGAAAACGTATTCTGCGCTTGCGCACACGCAAATGCGCAGTCGTAAAAGGTCTTACGCACACGCGTAAACGCCTATGCGCATGTGTCAACGCGGCGCATGCGCAGAAAGTTTTTAGCTTTGAGGTCAGGATTATAGATCATTCAGGATTATGGGTGTCCGAATTAACGACTTTTGACTGTATATTATGTTTAATAATAATGGATATGTTCTAAAATCTAGTAATATTTTATTCACTGTCTTTTAACAGTGTGCAAGGATTTATAAAGCATCTTGGCATTACAAACAGAGTCTACAAAGTGTGTGCCGACGAATCACGCAGATGTAAAGAGGAACTAAAAACTCAGGTGAATATTAATTTTTTTAATAGTATTAGTATTTTTAGTATATCTTTAGTACCACCTTTTAGTATATTTTTAGTATAACACTAGTATTTTTATTATTGAATGCAATGTCAGATTTTCTCGTACAGCATCTTTAATTATGTACGTTAACAAGAGATTTTTTTCCCCGATTTTTATTACAGGTTGAATCTTTGAAAAAGATGTGTGAAACAGAATTAGCCGAGATTATGGTAAGAGTAATTGTTTTCATTTATGTACATGCACGTATGTATACATACAATTAATCAATGTATTAGATACGATTTTGTAATAATAGAAAGCCAGTTATAATTAAATAACATTTTTAAATTATCTTTTTCTTGTAATGATATATTTAACTGATTGAGATTTTCGATGATATCTTCCAAAATGCATAAATCCAGTAACCATTCACCATTTCTTAATTCTGATACTGGTCTTTGCTTGTCATTTATAAGCAAGTCAATTTCTTGACCGAGCTCATAAAATCGCATTAAACATGTTCCACGACTAAACCATCTGACACGACTGATTATAATTAAATCATGTCTTTTGCAGAAGTTATTAGTTTTGTTGTTGGATTCTATCTTTACCATCAGTAATTGTATAGCCTCTTTGCCAATATCACCATATTCACAGCCTAATTCTTTTAGAAACTCCTTAAATTGTCGATGTGAAAATGCTTGTGATCGAAAACAATTCACTGTTTTTATGACTACTTGCATAACATGATTCATCGATAATACTTGGCCAGCTAGATTGTGTTGATGAATAAAACAGTAGATTATAATTAAATCATGTCTTTGCAGCAGTTATTAGTTTTGTTGTATTCTGTCTTAACCATCAGTAATTTTATAACCTCTTTGCCTTTACCGTTCATAGCAGGGGCCCCATCTGTTGATATTCTAGAAAGAATTTCCAAACACAAGCAGTGGCGGATTGGCCAAAGAATTCGGCCATGTCAGGGAAAAAATATGTCGGCCCCAAAGACTCTATATGGAATGGCATTATACATATGAGTTATCATTGTCATCATCATAAAAAATCCTTTTATAAAATAAAAATATACCTTTGCAGAAAAGTAACACTTTATTCATATATATAAAGCCTTTTCTGATGACGATTTCCGTAAACGTGGACAAAGTTATAGATATATTGATGACATTTTAACTTTCAACGATTACAATCTCGTAGAAAACAGAGACACCTAACTAAGCTCTCTAAAACTTAAGACAAAAAAAAATCAGAAATAGTTTATCTTGATCTTAGGGAACTACTCTGATATGCGCCCTCAAGTGGCCAAATTTCTCGCCAAAAATATTTGGCGAGAAACTTCACGATGCCATATTACTATCTAAATTTTTTGTCTACATTTTGAACTTTTAGCCTAAAATGTCTCCAAAAACGCTGTTTTCGCACATGCAAAAACTACGTTTTGAACACACAATTTAGCTAAAAATTCGAAACAAAAACAAAAAATTTAGATAGCAAAACCATAAAAATTCTAACCAAAAATATTTGACAAGAATCCATGTACACAGCGACATGTTTGAACTTAAAAAAACATCTACGAATTGCACAATGTAGGCAACGAACGAATCTACAAACTACGCACACCTCGCTTTAATAAATTAACATAACAACAACAAATTTCAAAGAATACCATGTACACAGCATCCTGTTTAAACTTAAAAAAAATTCTACGAATTGCACAATTTAGGCAAGGAAGGAATCTACGATCTACGCACTCCTCGCTTTAATAAAATAACATAAAAAATGCAGATTTTGCAATGTGGAAATGTTAATGGAAGTTAACATATAGAAATTATTACGATAAGTGATACAGAATGTATAAAATCCAAAGGAAAAGTTGTCACTTAGTGAACTGTTTGATAACTTAGCTCATTTAAGAGCTTCAAATGACATGGGCATTATCCCCCGATAATAATGCTCAGTGCATTTTCCCCGCTCATTGACTTGTGCTTATATAAAGATCTTTTGAAAAGCATGTTACAGCAGTTTTTGTAACTGAAATTAATTGAAAAACCTAACAAACTGAAAATTTTAATTTTTTTCAACTATGAGATATGGGCAAATGCTGATACTGAGGATGATGATACTGAAGATGATGATACTGAAGCAAGCAAGCAGTCCAAACAGTGCAAGCGAAAGAAAATTGATGATGGTACGACGAATTAAAATGGTAATATGATTATTAATTTAAAATTAGTTCCCTCCCCAGTATTGGGTTTAACAAACAATTTCAGTTTATTTTTAGTGTTTTAAAAAGTATTGTATGTTAAATATAAAGATGTAAATTTTTTAATTAAACTCTGATTTTCACTCTTTCTTGTAATAAAGTATTTTTCTTTATCTGCAGAAATTCTAACACTTATTTGTAAAGTTTTTAAGTTTTAATTTTTTTCCTTTGCTGCCACTAAAATTTTTTTTCTACTGATTTTTAAAATACAAATATTCAGAGAGGGGAATTATGCGAATAATTTAAATTTCCATTTTCTGAATAGTTTTCATACAAGATTAAACAAATTATTTTGCATTCAGCCGCATATGTCAACAAAATCTGACAAATATTATGTTTAACGTGTTTAGGATGTAAATCTTGGTTTGACCAGGAAAACATTGCGTGTTCATGCCTAAATGCGAATAATCTTCACTTCAGAGATTAAAGAATTTTTAACATAATATTAGCCTAGAATTTAAACTTCCCGGGTTTGCACCTTTCTTTATCCTCTATCGTATTATTTCAGAACAGGTTATTCTAATTGCAGAGGAATTTGTAGTTGTAGTTGCTCGTTATCCTATTTTTCTTTATTCTTGAGAATTATCCTTATTGTTGAAATTGACAAGATCAAAACAAACACCAATCTGATACAGTAAGACCCCGCTTAACGCTGTTTCGTTTAGCGCTGTTTCGGTTTAGCGCTCTTTTTTTCAAACCGGGGATTCCACGAAATCGCTCGCAGCATACGGGGATTCCCCGAAATATTATGCAGCGATAGGTTTCAAATACATATCCGAAAGAGTGTACTTGTATTTCTTGTTTGGTGCGGTATTGTACAGACATATTTTGAAAGGGTAAATGTGGAAGATGTCGAAGAAATAATTCAAGAAGCAGCGGCTAGTCTTTCTAATGATGAGCTCAAGGAATTAACTGAACAAGAAGAAAACAAAAATGTTGACAGCAGTGATTCAGAAGAAGAGCAAAAAGAACTTTCGATGGCGTTTGTAAAAAGGAGTTTGTCTACCATAACTGAAATAATGGATCAATTCATTGAAAATGATCCGAATTTTGACAGGAGCTCAAAAGTAAGGCGTGGTGTTAGAGATGCTGCTCTATCCGTTTATGAAGAACTTTTAAGAGAACAACGCAAAAGAAAAAGGCAAACAACATTAGATGCTTTTGTCACAAAAAGGCAGAACACACTGAAAACGCGGAAGGCTAACTAAATATGACTGACTGAGAATTTTATTTGTTTTTTTTAAGAATATTCGTTTTGTTATTTATATTTTTTTTTTTATTTTTGCAAGAAATAATAATGTGGTATTAATTTGGGCTTTAGAAATAAATGTTTGGTTTTATTTTTATTAAAAAAACATACTTTTTAAATTTAATACCTAACCAATTTCCTAGCCATCTTCCCCTAACCCCAATATTTACATGTAAAGATAGCCTCGTTTAGCGCTGTTTCGCATTACGCTCTACTTTGATGGAACGTATCCCCCGCGTTAAGCGGGGTCTTACTGTACTTACATTCACCAATATCTAATCTTCTAAGCACTTGCATTTTACTTTCTAACGAAATGCTTAGTCTAGTCACTTTATTTTCGTATTTCTTATTATCACACGTATAAAAAAAAACTAAAAATTATAATTTTTATCACTTCCATAAATTTATGCTTACAATAACAGCAACAATGTTTGAACAAATGTTTGAAATAATAAAAATATGTTTGTGTAACACTACCGAGAAGAATTAATGCTGATAAAATTACTTATATTTCCGATTTTGGAGAAACCCATTGCTGCTCGCAGTTTTCATGGAATCACACTATTCCAATAAAAACGCGTTAAAGTGAAGCAGTGCTAAGAGACCAGCGTTAAGCGGTATCTTACTGTATTTCAGTACGCATTTTTTATTATATTTCAGTAAGATTAAATTTTCCATATAAATTGTGTATCAGAATTATTTGAATTTTTTTTATCCTGGGTTCTTCTGTTGACAAGCGGGAAATTCTGGAATTTATCTGGAAGAACAGATTTATGAATATTTTTAAACAGATTTGAACTGCAGATTATATGAACCTACAGATTTCTTTTCAGACGCTGAGTGTAAATTATTCCAGTGTCAATTTTTTTTTTTTTTTTTTTGAAACGGGGTCGATATTCTAAGATAAGCTTTAGGCTAGTTCGGTAGTTTCCCTCGAAGTTAATCCCAGAATAAATAATGAATTAACATCCTAGGTAAGTTGATCAAAACTATATGTAAAAGTAGAAAGGAATATTTTTATCCTTACATGTGTTAAAGCTACGAAACAGCCAGAAGATATTCATTTTTTCCTGTGGAATTTTATTTTTCAGAGTAACAGTTTTCATTAATTTTATACTAACAAAAAATTTTTCTGTGGTGAAGAAATAGGATGCATTTAAATCATTCTTGGGTTTTATGTGATCGGGATAAAAATTTATACTGTATTTCTTATGTCTGAACATTTTTGTGTACTCTGTTTAGCGATCTAAGAAGTGCACTTATACAGTCAAAAGTCGTTAATTCGGACACCCATAATCCGGAATGATCTATAATCCGGACCTCAAAGCTACAAACTTTCTGCGCATGCGTCGTGTTAACGCATGTGCGTGTCTGAAAAAATGTATGTTCGGAAAAACTGCTGTGAAATATTCTTAGTGCTTTTTGAATGGATATTGTCTGGAAATCCAACAAAAAGTTGTAATTGTTACTATGTAAATCTATTGACTAAATACATAATATTACTATTTGTAACTAACTGCTCACCTTTAGAAGTTATCTCCTTTTCTTAATCCTTATTGTGTATGGAAGATACAACACATAAATGTAATATTTAATGTAAAAATTTATACTTTGCAGGATTTCATCATCAAGGCTTAATGATTAAAGACTCATGATTGTGTTTTAAAAGACTCATGAAGCTTACAGTCTTTCATTATGAAGGACTTACTATTTTTATTATCAAGCACTGCAGTTTAAGAAGTGTTACGGAAACATTTTATTATTCTAGAACCCTTTTTTAAAGCATTTTATGGTAAAAAAGTGTAATTGTATTTTATGAAGTGTGTTAATTTCGATGATAATAAATTGTATAAATTCATTACTTTGTATTCATTTTTCTAAATTAAATGTGTATGAAATTTTATATATAACTAAGTATTAAAGTAATAATTTTCTTATAAAAATTTCAATATTTGAATGCTGCCAAATAATTGCAAGAGGCTATAAGCAAACATGTACGTTTTGCATCTCAGTGTGCCTAAATATGCACCAAAGAAGCTTTTAAAAACTACAATAAAATTTATTTATTAGAAAAATATCACAAAATCAGATAGTTCAGAATATATTATTAGGCATTTTTGCCTTTCCCCATCTTACACATTTAGCAGCCAGCTTACCCCTGGGTATAAGAATGTACACAATATAGACGAATATCACAGGAATTTACGGCAACACTTCTCACCTAAACTGACTTGAGTTCCTTCTTTATGTTATTTTGCTTACTTTCCTAGGGTCTGTCTGAATAACAATGCGATTCCTGCCTGCTATGCAGATGACACCGATTTAGAGGTTGTATCTACTAATATCAACCATGTAATCAAGAAACAACAAATTGTCATTCTTAGCATTGGATCCATCGGATAAATACATCAAAAAGACAAACGACTTTCTGAAAGTGCTAACTTTTGCGATCAATGCCTTTCAATATAAAGTGCTTAAAGAAGATAGATATCTTCGCCCTAAGTCATTATTACTAAGTGAAAATAAGAACTTTCCCACGTTATTCGGCCCTTACTTGTACATATATGATTTTCTTTGTTTGATATTACTGTGATTATTTGCAATTTCCAGCCGTATTTCTACGAACCAGCACTTTGGGTCACCACTCAACGTTACAACAGACTCGAACTAGTAATTAACTTAATAACGCGAATTAGTAATTAATGGATTACTGAACTTCATTCGTGGTGCTTATTATAGAAATAATGGACTGCTTCCTGCATACATTATGCTAATATATCATTTTCTTTTATTCATGTGTTTCCTGAATTTGTTCATGCGATTTCCTCTTGTTTAAGATCACGTCATCTATTGAGAAGACAAAGCAAATAAATCCTTTATGTGACTTAAGACGCAGAAGATCAAAACTCAACACAAAAATAAAAAAGAATGCTCTACTTAACGTTAATTAGACCTGTTTCATTGTATGCACCCCAAGCCTGGGTTACTGCTGTCAAAGTAGAAAGAAGGAAAACTGCATAATTACAAAATAAAATTCTTAGGGCGATCACGAATGCACTGTGGTTCGTCCGGACCAGCATAATTCAAAAAGACCCAAAAATAAAACCAATCCCAGAACAAATCCATGCACATAACTTTTACAAAAAAAAAAAAAAAAAAAAAAAAAAAAAGATATAGAGAAAATGCAAAATTCGCCAGTGTAGACCAGAAGAGAACTTGCAAACTTCGATCCCACAGTAGAAAGTGTAGTAAAGAGGCCTAGATCGATTCAAAATGGTGATGTGCACATGTAAATAAGTTTTATTATCATAAGTTTCTTCTCTTTTATTTAGCCAAGAATTTAGTGAAATTAATTTATTGTGTCTTCCGGCAAAACGAATGGACTTTGTGCCATGTAGAGCAGGCTATGGACTCTGCTTCACTTATTTTACTTACTTTATTTTACGTGTTATTTTAAATTCAAATATTGCAGTATTGTGCTAATCATAATTCACCGCGTCTACCACTTCGACTATTACTCTGTTGTTTGCCCGTACCATCACGTGACTCAAGCGATCTCCCAGTGATAGAACTTGTACGTGTTATTGCAAGATTTTAAATCAAGGCTAGTTTTCCGCATTTTTATGCGAGGACTTGTGAATTTCAAACTGTGAACTTATGCAGAAAAATGACTTTTAAGTTAATCGAGAGTCTGAACTTTGTTTTGTGATTTCCTACCTAATTTTAATTGCTTGATGAACTAAGTCTGTACATTTTTGCCTTCTGGTGGGTACTTTGCACCGTAAATTTAAAAGACTATCGTGAAAGGCCTTTTGGCATATGTGAATGAACGGGTTAGAACTCCTAAGTAGTTGCCACCAGAAGTGAAATAGATCAGAGTCAGTGTCCAAAAAGCATTGATGTAGAAATAGCGCATCCTGGAATAAAATATAATTTTGTTGTACTTACTCTTAATTTGAGTAAAAAGAATAGGTATCCAACACCCTAAAATGTTTATTGTGTGTTTGGAAGCACTTCCCCAAAGAACCCTATGAATGTAAACACCGTCAACAACGGCGATAATAGTGCCAACCTGGTAACCCAGTAGATTTGACTTACTGTCTTGTTCGAAGGTTGCAACCATTACTCTACAATTAAATTATTATTAAAATTCCATTAGATAAACGCCTCATACAGTTAAACACAAAAATTCATAAAGTTTTAAAAGCTAAATAGCAGCATATGTTGATAATTTCCGATAGAGTGTTAAGTGTTGGCAGAAAAATTTATACTTTTCAGACTTTTTTTCAAATTATCATATCAATATTCAGTTTTCTTAGTAAGGTAGCGGACCCACCAACGCCCCACCTGGAAAGTCGCTGAACACTGGTAGTTCGATCTGAGGCTCGAATCCCGCGAACGGGCTGGCTGCATGGGCGCTTTCGTGGTTTTTCCCACATGTAACGTATATACAAGCCAGTTTCCTTTAGAGAGTCCCCATGGAGGCATACCTCCCCTTAGGCAGATATCCCTTGAGGCTTTGCCGTAGTAAAATAAACCAAACTTAGTAAGATGGCTAACAAATTTTTTTCGTGTCTTTCCATTATTAATTTTTCATTATTTTACCTGCTAACTTTATTAAATATTACGTGGATCTCATTTACGTCACATAATATTCAGTTCAACAGCAAAATCACAAAATATTTGAAAACAGCATGTCGATTCTCGTGAGTATTAGTTTGCCATACAAATTTTTATGTTTACTATATTCTTCGAAAACCTGGCCGCTCGTGCGGCTATAAATGTGCTTATTGCTTTTAAATCACTTATTTTATTATTAAATATAAAAGTATCTTAGGCTTTAATGAATGGCAATATGCTGTCGCATGGAAGATAAAAGATTTTTAATTTTGGCTGCGGTAACACATGGCTTTCAAAGAGTCAAGCTTGATAATTAAAAGTGAAAGATCTTACATTTTTTCTGATATGGCAACAGTCTTACACGCTAAGACAATTAGGTTAGAGCAATTGGAGTAAGCCTAACGTTACAAAACAAGTCAAGGAAATCTCAACAATGTTGCGTCAAGAGTTATCATGGCTGCCATAGAACCTACAACTACTACGAAACGTACTACAAAGTATATTGAACGTACACCCACAACGAACGTACAACTACTACGAAACGTACTACGAAACATATTGCTAAAGATATTTACACTGAAATTGAAAGCAAATACACGTAACCCTCCTATAACACAGTTGATAGGTTTCTAGAAAATGCCGTTTGTGTGAAACTGTGATATACGAGACCCAGAGCCATTAAAAGAGGGGGGTGTTACGTTCCGAAATCTTATTAAATTAGAAATTTGATTTTGAGGATGTTATGGAAAAATATTCAAAAAGCTAAATTCCACGAATTCTTGTTTAGAGATAAAAATTATTGAATCTTTTAGACAATTATATCTACAAAGACAATGTTGTCTTTCTAAAATTCGCAATCTTTTATGAAAATGGAAAGAGGTCAGCCTGATATAAAGTGAAATTGTACTTAAAGCCTATTGGCACTGATGTCTTTTTACCTAATGAAAAACATCTGAGAGCTTGCAATAAAGAAAAATTTGTGAATTTTAAAGGCTATCATCATGATAAATGTACTAACTGCGGTGCTAAGGCTACAATCTGCATAAAACCCGTTCGTTGACTACTCTGTTTTTCCATCACTGTTCTTCCAGCAACGAGATACATTCCGCAAGAGAAGAAGAGGAAGAATGACCTTGCTTGTTTGCATTAGCTGTACGTAAGTCACGTGATCTCTGAGGTCATCTGCATCGTTTATTTACAAAAGGTATACATAAGTCACGTGATCTATGAGGTCAGCGGAATGTATCTCATTGAAGCAGTCTCAGCCACGGGGGTATATCTTTACAGGACATTACTAGTCTTTACTAGGTTTACTAGTTCTACTAGTTTTACAGGTATATCTTTACTAGTCTTTACAGGACTAGAACCTCCGCTCAGTCGAGGGATGGATTCAGGCTTATTAGGGACCCTACTGGTACTGGTCTTGTCTGTCCCTTGGCTATATCGTTTGATATGCTGATTATCCTTGGGGGTTTGGCTCCCCTTTGACGAATCTTGGGGTCGAACTACGTTGCATATTTTTATCTGTGTTCTCTTTGTGGGTGGACGCGTGGCCATCCACAGCTGACTTTGTTAATATAAAACCAGACTCTTTGAAGTATATGTCCCTCGGAGTGGACCGAGGGATATTACCGTCATGGATTGCCTCTAAGGGTGGGGACGTTTAACTGTGTAAGGCGGCATTAAGCTTGTCAGGTCTGGGTGCCCCTTCTCCCTGGTACAGTATCCTCCTTGAAGGCCATTTTGGTCCCATCTTGGTTATCTCCGTGTATTACTCTTTAGCCAAAAGATTTAAAATTCCAGATTTTAATGCCCTTTTTGGAGTTAACTACAAAATTTTAATTTTATTTGTGGTTTCAACTCAGTGTGAACTTCGTGGAATTCAAGAATTAAAAACTGTACCGCTAAGGCTCTAATTTTAAACACAGTTTGTCTGTCTGATAAAATGTGTGTTTTCAAATATGAACACACGTATATGTATTCGTAGTTATCCTGGGTATTTTACTTACCAGCAATCCGAGAAAAGTTCCTCTTTTAATATTATTTAATGAATTATTTTATGATCACCGTCAGGTGGCAACGTTCTTCATGCAAGCTTTGTGGTACAGAAGCTGTTGCGTGAGGCATTTCTTTTAATATTTTGATTGTTTCTTGCAAAGTGACTTCCCCATTATAGTGTGTGTGTAACTTATCTCACTTGCTTGACAGTCACATCAGAACAAGTCTACGAAATTAATCAACACCAACCTCTCGAGAGCACTTTCGACTCGCCATATATTTATAGTACCCCCATGCTGCAAGTACACTATATATTTACAAATATCCATGCCTTCTCTGGGGTTCGAACTCGTGCCCTTATTCAGTAGGCTTATTAAGTTGATTAAGTATTCATTTATTATGTCAGTGTAAAATTCATATTACTCTGGACCATATTTCTTGCACGAAGAGAGATTAAATTCATGCTTTCCACTCCTGACGACTTATAAATTTCGATCACAAACGAGACCAGAATCAGGAAACATTGGAAAAACCGCTTATAGCAAGAATCAAATCACCATACATACAAGCAAACTACCTAAAAATGTACAACCAAGAAGTATAATGAAGGTTTTTTTATTTTTAAGGTGGCTACATTGCAATTAACAATAATTTAGGGCGGAAAATTTTCAAAGCGTTGCCACACACACATACACAAAAGCAAAGGAGAAAAAAAGAAAGAACAGGATCCATCTATTCAAGGAATGATATTGCTAATTTCCTAACTAATAGTTTGGAAGAGAAACTTATTTCAGGTAACGACAATATATATCTTCAGTTTTTAGATTTGACTCATTAGATTTCTTTATTTCTTTTCATGCGAACTTATTTATATTACCTTTCCGATCAAAGAGAAAAATATGATAGCTACTTATGGAAAATGTTAACCTTAAACTGTCATAGATGTTGAACAAATATTTATCGATTTTGAAAGCGATTTGTCATACGTCGATCTTTACCAAGAGTAATAATGTTTTGATTCCAGAGATAGGGAAAGTGCTTCTTTATCATCTGAATAGATCGGAAAGATTGGGATAATCTCATCATATAAAAAACTTTGAGAAGTTCATGAACGAATAACATTTTTAGCTCTCAGCGTTTCCATCTGTGACACTTTTTTTACTTCGCGTACCTCGCCAAGAAAGAAAACTTTAGACATATTTGTTGCTTGCTATCATAGAAAATATGGTGATAGGATGCAATATGGACCAATCGGAAAAAAGCTAGCTTATTCATCGGCCGTCCACCATTGGCCGAGTGTAAAATCGCTGATCATTGCTAGCTCATGAGTACGAATCTTAGGAAACGGGCTGCCTGGATTTGTCTTATTGTGGTTTTCCCCCATAAGTTTCGCGGATAAGAGCAAAATTCCCTTGGAAAGTCTTTCACGAAGAAATCCCTTTCCTTAGGCAGGTAGTCCTTCCGGGCTTTGCAGTATTCAAATAAACCTAACTATCAACTGGGACATGAACCAAAATAACATTGAGTTAATAATGCTCAGTGATCACATCTGTTTGGCCACAGATGAGCCATTTAGTTCGGGAAAAGAGTTCTTAAAGAGAAGGATCTCAAAGCCAGGTTTCGTTTTTATAATTGATAAAAAAGGAGTAACAGTTAACTTGTTAAGCCTGTTTTGAATGGGAGTGTACTGGGCCTAGTTAGTTAATCTCAAGCGCAATGTATAGCATCTTTATTAGGGTGTAGCGAACTCGAGAGTCAATCAAACGCTCGCAATGCTAAGCAGTTCAAATAGCCGTCTAGTGCCCAAAAGTTCTGTTGCAATAGGGTACGGAATTCAACTGCGAAGTAACAAACCCTAGACTAAATTACATTGTTATTATAATCTGTTAAGGGCATGTGAAACTTGCGTGCTACTACACTTTTCAATGGTGCAAATCATATGGCAACAAGAGCAAGCAACTACATACAGAGCAGCACCAAGCGAGCATATCCCCAAGTGATTGCTACAGTTGAGACCCATAGAACTACACTCTTCCGTTCATTGGGGATAATTGACGAATTACATCACACACGACAAGACGTTTCTTCAAACACACTCGACCTCACGACCTAACGGTGACACACTTAACAGGCCGAGGTCTCTCAACCACACTCATTCATACAATAATGGGTCCAACTAAGCATTGTCCATACACTAGAGTAATCACATCAGCGCATCGGGCTTACAGCCACGCCAACAACGCAGGATCAGTTCACGCAGACGAGTCTCACCTCTTCATGTCGCCTCAGAAATGCTTGGAAAGGTGGTGTGTAGCGATCTCGAGAAGCAATCAAATTCTCGCATAACACAGGAGCTCGAATATTACACACAGACAATCTACAGCAAGAGAGCCCTTTTATGAGAGCTACGATTTCCACGTAACAGACACATGATTGAAATTCCAAGGTTATTATAATCTTCAAGGGTGCACGACATTCGCGCGTTACTGCACCTGCTATTAATGCGAATGCACGGCGACACTAACGGCCAACTACATATCAAGCAGTACCAAGAGAATATACCGCAAAGTGATCGCTACAAAGGACTCCAAAAGTTTACTTTTCTGGTTTTTCCTAAAGAAAATAGTATTATGAAGAACTGCACGATGATCTCGGGCCTCCCTGAAATTTGGATCCGTACTCCCTGTCTTTTACTCTTTAGAAATGGAATTTTTTTTTTATCTCTTTGGTCAATTTTATAAGATGAGAATACTGTCGTATCTTATAAAATTGACCAAAGAAAGCTGTAGAGAAAGATTGCCGTTAAGTTATCGGGGTTCCTGACAAAGGTCTATTTCAAGAAGAAATTTTGAATACACTGAACAATAAATACTTAAAAACATTGCACATTAGAATGGCAAGTTTGGGCATTGGATGGAAAACAATGGCATTTCAGTATCCTGCAGATTTATTGGATAAATCTCAAAACAATGCCGCCTTAACAGCATTTTGTGCCTCTGAGCAAATGAGTGTATACTGAGGCGCCTACGACAACCACACACAGATGAAATGTAAACGAATTAACAAAGGACACTCATGCCAGTCAGTCCCTGCGTTAAAATGGCCCGGTCTAAAACTTTTTATTGAAATGAAAGCCCTTTGATGATAATGTATCCAGAGGTAAATTAAATGTCAGAATCAATACGAGTATAAATAAATACGAGTAAAAGCTAGCTTTAAACGTTTTATTTCCATTCTCTAGAGCAAAAGTCTCTCCCTAGATAAATGAATACTAATTGGAAAAAATAAAGATTTTAAAAAATGTAGTACTAATGATATCTAGACTAGGATAGAGATTTCTCACTACTAATTATTTTGCTAGACTGTAAGCCGACTCACTCACCAACACTTATTTTGAATCGGTGATGAGATTAATTCTGTTTTAATGTACGAAAACTAAAGCTTGTAATGTCTGGTTTTCTAGACATTAAGTTCTCATTTAATTGTAAAGTTCGAGACTGATGATTAAAGATCGAAAGCAAAATTATTAAAAAATTAGTTTTTAAATTTAAGGATAACTTAGATAATACAACTAATTTGCCACTTATCTTCAGCAAAGGTAAAAAATGAAGTTATTTACAGCAACTTTATTTTAATTTCTCGCCCAAATAAATAAACAAATAAAATAAAATAAACGTGGACCATTTAAAGTGAATACTTTTAGTGAATGTAATCTTTGATAATAAAAAAAAGAAAGAAAGCAAAAGTAATAACTAGGTATTCATACTCTTTCCCTAAATATCACGGAAGCAAAGATCACTTTGGAAGCTTTGAACTGAAATTTATTTTGTTAGTCCTGTTTAAAATGAGCACAGCGGTAGAATGTTGCGTAATAGCAGAAGAAGAAGCATTACAAGAAGGACACACGCAGGATTTTATCGAATTTCGAGTACTGATAAGTTTTGTAAAACTGGAAAATGTGCCTGTGTAAATCACCATAATGTAATTTTGAAATTAAAGTATGTGTATTTCAATAAATTATAAAATCCCTTCGACACTACAAATTGAGACTATTATTGATTATCAATATATTGATGGTTTTATTTTTAAACTTATTTCTTTTAAATATGATTTATTTGATTTGAATATAAATGTAAATTGACTAATTTATTACATTGATTTTATTCGCTCATTTCTTTGCGGCTTTTGCGGTCGTCGTCACGTCAAAACATTGTGACGATATGTATGAGTGTAGCCAACCAGCTGTTTTGTTGTGATTGTTGATGATGCGAGGATAAAGAATGTAGCTCTCAACAATAGGAAAATATGAACCTTACAGCGAGAGCTAAAATTGAGGTGTTTGTCTACTTTTTTGTTATTAACTTCAATATGAGATTTAGAAGAAAAATTAATGAATTATAGACGAAATCATTATCGATTCGTGTATAACTGCGCATTTTCTTTCATTAGTTTGGAATCGTGAATAATGACACAATGCCCTTTGTGTACGTTGTGGCAATTTATTTTAGTGGGTGTTTTTAGATAGAATGATATTTATACATTTTATCTTGCATATTTTTCGCTGCAAGTTAACTGAAAATTATTTAATAATTTAGATTGCGACCTTTATAATCGAAGATGAAGATCCGAATGTGCCTAGAGGGTATTCGGTTAAGTTTTTCCGAGGAATTAATTCAAGTAACGAAGTATTGTAATATATCAGTGTATTTGCATTAGCTGTTTTATATTTATTTGAACTTGAGGGATTTGATTTTGAAATTTTTCTCATGTGTTAAAAAAATTTCAGCTTTCCTTTGGAGTACCAGTTCTCAAACTGGGGTTATGCAAGTAGTTTTGCTGTCAGTTTCACCTTTTATGTTAGGTGTGATTAATTTCGGTAATTTTTTAAATACGATTCCCTATTAAATTTATATATCTTTAAATCTCGTAAGCAGCAGTGATTTTGTGTGTACTACTTATAATTGGTATGCCATAAATATTCCTTCGTTTGAATACAGTTTAAAAATGATTTTAAACTTATTTGTTGTAGGAGAATTAAAATGTATATCTCCATTTAAAAACTATGTGCGCTCTTGCAAACTATGATTTTTCATTATTACTTATGTTAAAGATGATTGATAACTGTGAATGATATGCATGCCTTTGGGGGAAACCTTTCTGTAAATTGGAGATAAAATACTTAAATATGTTCTTGAACGGTTTTATTTTAATTTTCAATTAAATTATTTATTTAATGCTGTGTTGTCATTTTTTATATTTAATTTAGATTCATTTTATATCCCTAGATCTTTTTTTGTGTTGAATTTGATTTATTCATGATACTTGATTTGTTGTTTATTTTATTTTCACTATGTAACTTTCATTTTGAAAATCCTGAATATTTCTATGTAACTTGTTTCTTAGAAAACTGGATTGTTTTTGAGATCTCTGATGCATTTGTGAATTATGGAAGTGAATTCCTCAACAGGAAGCTAAATCATGTTAAAAAAAATTAGAAAAATGGCAAAGGTATGTTAGAGGCTTGGTGTTAGTAATTGAAAACATGCTTGAACAAATTATTCTTCATGTGTTATTGTGTTAGATTTTTTAGGGTTTCGAAGGCATAGCCTAAAATTTGGTATTGAAGCATTACTTAGATAATAAATTTTCTGTTGTCTTTGTATGGTGGTTGTCCTTGCTGTGGCTTTTGAATAAATCTGTTTGTGTCAAGTTCTCAATTCCTTATATTCCTCTGTTGTTGCTTTGTTCTTGTTAATTTTGCAAGTTCATCATATGTAATTTTTAAATTTTGCCTTCGAAACCCTACAGCTTAGCTCTCAGATTTGTGTTTTAGTAACATATTTACTAAAGAAACGTTATTGATATCTTATCTTGCCAAACTAACTTGGTTCCATTTTATGGCTGTTAAGTTTTTCATGATTAATTTGATGTCATTGATGATCATTTCTTGTTAAAGATAATTTAATTTCAGTCAAGCTATAAATGAAATTGATGAACCAATGTTTCTTTTTTTTTTTTTTTTTTTTTTTTTTTCTTTTTTTTATTTTGAGATAAATTTTTGTTCGATGCTGTAAATGCAAAGTTTGAGAGTTTTGTTGGCTGTTTTGCAGACATGTCGGTTGTACTGATCTACTAAAAGTTAATTATCAATGGGAAAAACAAATAAATCGTGAAAATTTTAAATTATCGTATATTTTTAAAAAATAAAATGATTTTGGCCTGTTTCATTTTCATAAAGTACTTCAGTGTTACAGAATTTAAATGTACTTTTAAGGAAGGGTTTACTATTTCAAGAAACATTGAAATAGTTTTTTAAATTCATATATTTATTTTTACAAATTTTGTTCAGGTTAATTATGTATTTAGTTTATATCAATTCATTTTATGTATTTACTTGTAATTTTATGCCTTTAATGAAATAGCACAATAGTAATAATTAGTGTCTCTGTTATAGAATTTTTCAAAATATATATAATTTTATATTTTGAAATGAAGGCTCTTTTTTAAATTTTGAGGTTGTCAATGTTTTTTTCACCCTTGAAGGATTTTATTGTGAATGAAGAAAGCTGTGAATAACACTGGCGAACAGCAGTTTTGTTTTCTTTGACGTGTCATTTATTTTTGATAATTTTTTACCTCTGAATCCAAAAGTAACCCAGATTGTTTCAGGAGACCCACTTTTATATGGAGAGGTAGAAATATGTTTTTTCTGTTGACAATTGGCTGATGTAAAATATTTGACTCGCCAGGTTTCTGGTTGTATCTTGGTGGCCAATTCAACTGCACCCAGTACTTCTCATGAGCTCTACTTGTCCTACATACATAAAAAGAGGGATGCTTGGTATATCCACGTTGTTGGGTTAGGTGGAAGTGGACCATTTTAAGCTCAGCAAAGATGATTTATTGGTGCATGTGATATTGCAACAAATCAACGATTCTCTTTATACCTTCTTATTCTTCACACAAAAAAGCTGAATAGCCTATTGGAACGGCATTAAATAAATTTCCATTGTGAAAGAGGGCACACATCAAGCTCCGCTTTGAGTTATCAATGAACAGCTGCCATTGATTAGCATTATAGACTGAAGTTTCTAGCTCATCCATTAAAACATGTACATTTTAGCAATAAACCAATTCATTATCACTTCCAAAGTATTACAGAAACGCACTTTCTCTTGATCGAAAATAGGTTCTTTTCAAGAAAGTTTTTCAGTTTTTCTCTTAACTGTCATGATGCTAACAGCTCTGAAGCTTATTTGGATATTTTCAAATCTCGTGCCAAATCATTCAACTAATGCTGGTCCTTCCAAACGGAATCATCTTCAATTTCAAAATCTTCATCGTTGGTTCATTTCGATATTCGCCAGAATTGTATTTTCAAAGAGGGTGATTCTTTGAAAACTGGTACTGGGATGGAGTATTCTATTTCCCATAATCTGTATAAATCTTATGGGAAATAGAATACTCCATTTTGCATTTGCTTTTTGTGTTATATCCTGATGTTTTTGTTGAATGAAGCTGTCACCAAATCATAAATAAACCAGATGGAAATTTGGAACATGTTCACTTAATCCGCATCCGTAAACTGTTGACGCACTGCTTGTACGTGTTGTGAGAGGCACATGATTTATTTGATCACCAATTTTTATTTTGAAATAGGCTTGCTTAACAGATGTACTGATGTTAGTCCTTTGATTGGGAATTGTACAACTACCACATATATCACAAAATAATAATAATAATAATAATAATCGGAGATCTTTAACTCTTTCAGGGTTATGGCTGTAAACATCCATATCAAAAAATGACTTTTTCATTTATTATGTGGGAAAATTTTTACAAGGTCATGATAGAAAGAAAAAGAATCCATGTACAATGGATAAAATAGTACATAAAAGAGTCATTTTGAAATTATAATTTGAAAAATACCACTTATTCATGATTATTGAAATTTTAAGGTCTAACTCGTAACACTTGGAGGGTCAAGCACTTCTGACACTAACTAGCAGAAGTAGACATAAGGAAAGGTTTCAGTTGATGTATAAATAAAACCTAAACACTGCTGACCTTGTATGCAACAATAACTCGGACTCCATATCAGATTGTGCTTCATTATATCAGAGCGACACACACATCTCACTACAATATCTTGGACATAACTGAACTAGTCTAGGCAAGTATGCATCTGTTGTTGGCTTCCTACGGCATCATTCACCACTTGTCATCAATTGGAGGATTTATGTCAGACAGTGGGAAAGTATTACTTCTTATGATCCACGTTTCATGCCACAAAAAATGGTCACATTTACATAAGGTGTAGAGAAAAACTTAATAGAAGGTAGAAAACTTCAGTTTTGAAATTAGCATAACCAGTTTAAATAACTCAAAATAGGAACTTGACATGAATTTTATTACAAAAGTTCCCAAATGTTGTTTGTTAGCTGGATATCCCAGTCAGTTTTAATGAAAAGAACTGAACTCTGCACTGCTGTTCTTAAGCCTTCAACCCTTAATATTGAAATATACCATAGATGAAAATCTATTTCAATTACCACTAAAGCATGTTACTAAATGTGTAGAAGCCAATTTTATCATTGTAGCTCAAGGCGAGCGTTAGATATTTTGATATATTTTCAGTTTATCAGTAGAATAGCAAATGTCGAGAGATTTGTAGCTGTTAAAAATTTTTTACTTCTTAGGAACTCATTCCTCTAAATGAACTTTCTGTTGTACAAGAAATGCATTGCTAGGTTATGCAAATATTTTAGCAGATTAGGATAATTTTATTACTAAAATCTGGAATAATGTTGTCACAGGATTAGGAAGATCTTGTTTTATGCTAGTGACTAAAATAGTTATTAAAATATAGTATGGGACGAATCTTTTATTTTTATCCTAATTTTACAGATGTTTATGAAAGATAATAATTCTATTAGTATTTTGTGTTCATCATTTATTAAGCCTCTCACATCTTGCGATTTCCACAAGCAAAATAGAAGTAGCAAAATGATGCATTTTTTCCGTTTATTTAACTGTGCAACCCGTTCATGGTTTCATTTCGGCTTTTCTGTGATGTTTATTCAGATCTGGGTTAACTGATGGCATTAGCTGTTCATATTTCTGCAAAATACACAAACACGTTTTACACCATTTTGCGCACTCTTCTTAAAGCTCAAAGATGTCTGTAGTTCAACTTTCAATTGCATGCATTGCATGCAACTAACTGCTCAACATTTTGCTAGATATATATCCACCAATTCCATCAAGAAAGAAACTTGTAGACATTGTGCTGTTTGTTTCTAAAAAAAGGAACTGAAACTGGGTAAAAAAATTCTCAAAGAAATGGGTATATTTGGTGCAAAGGAGAGTGAGGTAGGATACCTCGAGCCTTGTTTCGAACTTTATCATATTACACTTACTTTCTAATAAATATTTTGTAAATTTTCATTAGTATATGCATTTTACCATTATATTTTATAAAATAAATCATAATTTAACCCAGATTAATTTTCAAAATTTTTCTTTTGTATGATTATTCTTCAGTTAAATTTTCCGACAACACTTTTTTAAGATCTAATTCTATACTGAAATGAAAACTCTTTTACAAAAAATGTTTGTATATTTTAACTCTAAAATATATGCAGATTTGAAATGTGTAAATAAAATATTATGCAATGTTTTAACCTATTTTGACAAAAAATTACGCAGCGAAAGGGTTAAAGACAACTTCGTACAGCATTATCTGGTTAGTAACCATTAGAGATTGATTGAAGCAGTAATACTAGAATGCTGTGATAAGATTTTTAAGTTTTAAGCCTGTATCAGCATTGGAAATTTAATACTATTTGGTTAGTCTGTGGTGGCATGCAGCAAAATCATCTCTTGAAATTTCCAAGTTTGGGTTGGGGGTGGGGCAGGGCAGGATATGAATAATAATGATGTTATATGGAATGGCAGACAAGCAGGCATGGAAGTGTGCAAAACACTTGCTGAATGTGTAGTACTTAAAAATGGATGAATATCTGAAATAACAGATGCAAAACTGCTCTCTGTCCTATGGAAGAATCTTCCAAATAATTGCACATTCAAGATTTTTTAAGCTGTGTACATAATTGGTTCTATTAATTATTTCTGTGAGTTGCAAGGTAAGGTAAATGACTTATGACTTTCAGCCCTGTAATAATATACTGTAAATATAGAATTTTTAAAATGCACTGTTACCCATAATAAATTATGGATTGAGCACTTTATTCGAGGATCAAAGCATGCATATAAGGAAGCCTGAGAACTTCCACACATCAGAAGATTCCAAATTTCTTTTGCTGGCAAGTTATGATTACTGTGTTTTATGGTCGGAAATGCACGGTTCTTATCATATTCTTGAAAAGAAGAGCAATAATTCACATAACTTACATGCAACCCTGAAATGTTTATGAATTGGCAGCAGTTGTCAGTTTTAAGATTTTTATAAAAGGTGCATTACTTCTGCAAAATATTGCATGCTCAGA